CTTTACCCTATTGTTAATATTATGATTCAATATACATTTGTACTCGTGTGTGTGGGGAGAAATAGAGAGGGTTTTTTTTTTTTTTTTTTGGGGGGGGGGGGGTGTAGTGGATGATAAACGGATAGAGGGGGAAGAGAGGGGGGGGGGTACTGCTTATCACGTATTACTTGCCACGTGACCCCCAATGACAGACCATGTGATCTAAAGTAAAACCGTTGGACAGGTAATATGAATTTTTGAAACTTTTTCATCTTTTTTTTCACAGGAATATCTTATTATCCTCACTAAGACAGGAATAACTTATTATCCACATTAAGACAGGAATAACTTACTATCAACATTAAGATAAGAATAACTTATTATCCACATTAAGACAAGAATAACTTATTATCCACATTAAGACAGGAATATCTTATTATCCACATTAAGACAGGAATAACTTACTATCAACATTAAGATAAGAATAACTTATTATCCACATTAAGACAGGAATAACTTACTATCAACATTAAGATAAGAATAACTTATTATCCACATTAAGACAAGAATAACTTATTATCCACATTAATACAAGAATAACTTATTATCCACATTAAGACAGGAATAACTTACTATCAACATTAAGATAAGAATAACTTATTATCCACATTAAGACAAGAATAACTTATTATCTATACTAATATTTGTGACTGTCGTTTGTCTGTCTGTCTGTTCGAGGTTGGCGGCTACACTAGGTCTGCTCCGAGTCTGAAATTTGGGGTATAGGGGTAGCTCGGACCGGGGAGTAACATAGGCCAGGTGGCGTTAGTCTACAACTTCCGGTTTCGGAGTTATGACCCCCAAGCGAAGCCGGGTATCCTGCTAGTCCACATTAAGAAAACTGTTTAAATTTTAGATTTTTAGATTGTGAAAGAGACAGCGATTGTACTTTCGACGAAGTATGTGATAAGCGGGTGTTCACGTGTAAATGTGAAGGCATCATCTGTCTCCCTAGTCAAAAATGCGTTCATGGAAAGTGTGTTACGGTTCGACCACCCAACCCACAAGGTGTTTTAGAGAAGGGATCAGTAAGCATATTCTCAAACACTATTGATGCCTACAAAAGGAACAAATACACATGGCGGTTTATCTTGAACCACTATAAATTAGATAAAATCTAATTATGGTTTTATTTCAACCCCTTGAGAGTTTTTAAGATTACAGAGGTAACCCAGTCTTTCTCTAGTCCTACGTTACTCCATTAAAATATGAACGATTTTATTCTCTTCAGGGTGATGAACTTTACGACCAACACCAGCTAGCGTAGCTTCTGCAGCCAAACTGAATTCAATTGTAAATGGTTAATTATAAACAACCATTTTATTCTGTTTCACAGTGGAGCCTAATTTGATTCAAAGATACAATATATTGAAATAATATAATAAATGAAATTCACATCTTATTTTAATGTTTGTTGTTCCATTTGTTCGGAATTCCAACTGTCACGGGTTCTTTTCTGTGCACGTCAATCAATACACAGACGTTCGGTTTTTCTCCCTATCCGAACGACTATGTGTGAAGTTGAGATGACCGGGACTTGGTTTAATTTATGTATTGACATAATAATATTTAATTGTTTGGGTCACAGTGGCTCAGTCCGTAAGATGCTGGCGCAGTAACCACGACTTCTCGAGTTCGGTGCCGGTTTTGTTGTCCGAAAAATTACTTGGGATTGTCCAGTGTAACCCCTCCCCTAAAACCCTCTGTATATTAAATTAAAATTGAACCATTATTTGTATCGAGTGAACGTTACGCCCCACCCCCCAAACAACCATCCCTGTCTGTCCCTGGAAAACAGAATACACTGCTTTTGTGGTTCAACACGCCACTATTCTGCATCTACGGGGGTAATGAAGACGGACGTACGCCATTTTGCCTGACAGTACCGTTACGACCAACTGTTATATCGAATTCCAGCCGCCAAGTATTTACGTGCACACCAATGTGTACTAGTCCGGTGGCTCAAGGGGGGATCACCACCCGAGCTGTGAATTTATAAGACCAGGTTTTTCTAGACCAGTTTTTTGCATATATTCCGAATATGTGTGGTAATTAGGCGTTTGAGGGGGCGTTTTCGAGATAGGGGTGAGGGGGTGGGGTGGGGTCAATGTCTACAATCGGGGGAAAATGTGGTTATGTTGACATAAATTTTAATAAAACATAAATTTCTAGGACTGTCCATCCATAAATGTATATGATGCCCTCGGACAACTGTTTTGATTTGTGGGGAGGTGTGGTGCTGGGTTGCATGTGTGCATGTATGGAAGGGTGGGGTGCTTGGAATTGGTGGGAAATGAGTTCACGTTGAAATTTGTTTCTTAGATCTGTGTAAAAAAATTACTTTTTAATGTTGATGCACATCTCTAAATATGTGTATAAGATTCCCATTGTGTATAGTGGGGTAGGGGTGGGTGGGATCGGTAAAATGTATTTTTGGGGACAGAAATGATTTGGCTCAAAATTAGCTTTTTCGTTTAGTACCAATTTCGATGTCCGGGAGAAATCCCACAACAATGGACAAGTGACACTACAAATATTGATTTTAAGATACAAATGTTAATTTTAGTCTACAGATATTAAGACAAGGTACAATTTTATGGATACACAATTACTGAGTTTAATACTAAGCGATGTTTTGACGAGGATACTCTCGTCTTTATTAAACAAATGATACAAATATGTGAACGTGGGCAAATATATACAGAATATGCAACAAAGATAAGAATAAAATACAATTAAAGCTTAATACCTTTGATTAGGGGGCCATTAAGAACTAAACCTACACAACAGAAATCTCTTACAGGGATTAAAAGCAGGTGAATGCTATATTTATAAAGATCAGTGTATTAACACTACTAATGGAAAACCAATTAACCTGAACTATAGATAAACAATAATATAAAGAGAAATGTGTATGTATAAGTAAATTTATTATTTCTATGTATTAAGGGTCAATAAATGTGAACTGTATTTTATGACTGTAAGACTGGAGAAGTACTGCAAACCAAAATATGTAAAGTGTATAAATAGACTGTGAAACTGGATAAGCACTGAATTGTGTTCATTCTGAAAGCTAGAAAATTATGAGAGAAGAAACCTATTATTAGACTTAAATCTGGATGAGGGATACCGTAAATATATTCGTCCGATAAACTGAAACCAATACATGGGAAATATATCCTCAGACTGTAAAATGGGATAAGTGCTGAAAGTCAAGATATGTACGTTGTGTAATTAGACTGTGAAAACTTGATAAGCGCTGAGTTAGAAATAAAGTATTTGAATCAATATATAAGTTGGTCATAAGCACTTGGTATAAATAGTCCGACATCACGGTTTTATATTGATGGCCACAAGAAGTTTCCTGGTTTTCTTCTGGTGATGATGTACTGCGAGGGTTCTTGTTTGGTCCCACAAGATTGTATGATGTTCGTTGTTAATAATATGCTCTGCTACGGCTGAGGGATTGGTGGAACTAGTGACTTGTGCTCTTTTATTCGTACATCAAGTGGGCGCTTCGTTTCCCCTACATTCTTTTCGTTGCAGGAGCATGTTATCTCGTAAATACATCCTTTGGGCTGTGGGGGGTTGGTTTGTGTTGGTCTACCAATGGCTTGCAGTAACTTCTGTATGGTTTTGCCGCTAGAGAAAATCACGTTTATGCCCACTTCTTGTTTCATCAACCTTCTGATCTGGTAAGAGATTTTGCCGTGAAACGGGATGGTTATTCCGATGCCGGAGTGGTCAGTATTTGGCGTTCTTGGCTTATGTTGGGTCTCTATGGTGGTGGTGATGACATCATTAACCAGTATTAACCAATTTGGTGGGGTAACTGTTATTGTTTATGAAAACGTGCCTTAATAATGCTCTAATTCCGCGGGTAAACTTTCTTCATCACATATCTTGGTGGCGCGTCTGGTTAGAATGGTGATGATGGATTTCTTTATTTGATGTGAATGATTTGAATTATAGTGAATGTGTTGATCAGTGTGAGTTGGTTTCCTATAAACAGCAGTGGAGAATTTGTTATCAGATTAAGTCACTAAGACATCAAGAAATGGGAGACTGTCATCCGTTTCTGTTTCCATTGTGAATTTTATCCCCGTTTGTCGACTGTTGAGATGTTGGTGTAGCGTATCTGGGTTGTCGTTTTGATTGAGGACCACAAATGCATTATCGACTTGGAGATACCAACAAGAGGGGTTTGATGGGGAAAGTCTGTAAGGCATCAGTTTCAAACCTGGTCATGAATACTTCGGACACTAGTGGCGAAAGTGAGTTACCCATAGGCAGGCCATGTATTTATTGATAATATTCTTCATCCTATCTAAAGTAAGTGGCAGTTATACAGAGAAGTAACAGTTGAATGATATTATAAGTGGTTAGGTTGGTGTCCAGTGGGGTCTCTAATTCATTGATTTTCTTTTTAAGTATTTGGAGTGTCTGAGCTGTGGGGATATTAGTGAACAGGTCTACTACATCATAGGAAAGAATGGTGCCGATTGATGGGACGGATGGGAGGCTACAGTGTTATTGTATCGTCGATATCTTGCCTCAGAGTGAAGTACTTTTACTGAAATTTTTAACATATTCCCTTTACATTATCTAGTTTGTAGCTATTATAGCGAGAACTGTATCTTGTCTTCCATAATGCCAATTTAATTAAAAGTTAAATAATCAATCTAAGTCTATGGTAGCGATGAGCGTCTATTGATAACCCCCGCCCCCACCCCTCTACACACACACTTACACTGCTAAAGATACGAATTATTGAAATAGAATTGAGTCATATGTTAGTCCCAACATGGCCAAGTTTGTGTCAGGTGAACGACTTATTTAAGACCATTAAACGCTTTTAAAATAATTCATTTTATTGTAGTGCCGATTAATATCGTCAATCACGAACCTCGGCTAAAGTAAGCAAAGGTTATTCTGCTCTTTAAGAATGAGAGAAGGCCAAATTATACTAAATGCGTATTTATTATCAACAGTTTTATTAATTATAATATATAAATATAATATATTATTGAAGATCAGGTAGATAGGTAATTATATACATATATATGTATGTTTAATGAGAAAGGTGTAACAACTCGCTATCCCCGGAATGTTGATTAGACGGTTTTGTAATCTTAGATCAATTAAACTCGAATATCGACGAGAATACCTTCGGCGATTGAACTAGACTACAATCACATACTACAACATCAAATTACCAAGTATAAGTTTAGTAATAACAAACATAATAATACTGGTAATGATTTTCATAATACAATTAAATATAAATGAATTAGAAATATACACATTTTTTACATAAACCATTCAGTAAATGGACATGAATATGGTTATCTACCCTTATAATAACAAACGAGAAACGAAATGAAATGAAATGAAATAGGGTTTAACGTCCTACTGTTCTGCTCCTAACCTGGGCTAATGAAGACGGGCATACGCCACACAGTGTGCTATGAGGGAAATTTTGCCCGGACAGCGGCACTACGGCCTACTCTTATATCGAATTCCAACTGCCAAGGGATCTTTTACGTGCACGCCAATGTGTACACGGGACCTCGGTTTTTCGTCCCATTCGAACGACTAGACAGCTTTCCCTGTCAGCCCCTCCGTCCTCCATCACTGACAAGGGAGAACCACGCCGGAAAATCTGGATGAACCTTCGCCGCCAATGCAGGGATCGAAACGAGAAACGAAGGTCGTTTCATTATTAACAAAAGCATGACAAAAACAAAATAAAAATCAGGATAAAAGGTATACATAATAACATAAGATCAAGCAAAATAATATAGTGATATAAATTTACATTTTTATTCCTGTATCGAGGTGATTAACAATATTATATTCCCGTATCTAAGATAGACTACTGTTGGATTATTATGATACTTATACTGTATCTATGATAGCCTACTGTTGGATTATAAGAATCTTATACTGTATCTACTATAGCTTACTGTTGGATTATTATGATATTTATACTGTGTTCCTGTATCTACTGTTGTCAATACTCATGGATTTAGGTGCTTGGATCTACGATTTGGATGATAAAAAATTATACTGAATTTATGAGTTGTGATGATAAATTATATTACATCCATGGATCAAAGAATATATCCAATTGGATTTATGGATTTATTAATATTTCACTTGAATCGTTTGATTAATTTTAGTGGATTTGATTTCATTATATTGTTATCTGTTAAATATAGCTGTTTTGGTAATTGACAACATTTGTCTGATATCAGTAAAATTGAAATCATCCCTATAAGGCCGTACTGGAACTGGTGGCCTTTGAAGATTTTGATGTTATACTCATCGGTAGTAAAGTTGTTTCCAGAAATCTCTGACTTGTTTATCTCTGGCAGTGAAAAGGATAAATATAAGGAAACCCTGTAGAGAGTTGAGTATTGTGAAGACATACTGAAACGCCACACGAGCATCTGATATTGCCAGAAATCCAAAAATCCAGGTTAATCCTAAAATATAACAGATGTTATCGTAGATACTGATCGGTATTATCAACCTCAATGATGATCGACTTCAAACCCCTCGAACGAACGAGCGAAAGATATTCATGATATTAACCTTGATACTTAAATATAACAGTTGTTGTTCAATGGAAGTAGTTTGAATGCAAAAACTTCCCGCCCGTACATACAACCACACTCTTTAAATATCGGCGGATCTGGTCATATGCATGTTCCCTTAAGCAGTCTAAGTTTGTGAGACAATTTAATTAACCAGGGCACTGTAAAATTCATTAATCCCCTCAAGGGTATCAGCTCTACCTTGTTTTACTGTCACAGATGGACAAACATGAGGGATTTTGCACGCAGTAACACATGTTTTATGGATTGGGACAAGACAGAATAAATATTTTAAACCTAAACGTTGCCCGACAATGTCAGGTAAAGTGAACATGATTATTAAACACCAGACCCTGTTATCGCAATAAAATCATTGGCAAACAATTTCAGATAAACTCCTAATCTTTTAACTCCGCTTGATTTTGTTTTAAACCAAGTAACACTTATGTTGTTTCTGATATTGACCAAACAACATCTAGCCTTCTTTCTGGCATTACCAAAAAAACCTGACTTTGTTTTTGATATTAACCAAATAAAATGGACTTTGTTTTTAATATTAACCAAAAAAACCCATCAAGCCGTGTTCCAGATTTTAACCAAATAACACCTGGCCTTGTTTTTAATATCAACAACAAAAATGATTGACTTTGTTTTTAAATTTGGCTTTATTTTTGTTTCTGTCATCTACTGGTTTCTGAATTTCAACTCACCTAAAAGAATGAAAGAGCAGAACGAGGCTCTGATGTTTGTAACTGAGTGTTGAAGGACTGTTGTGTTGAGATTTTGTCTGCTACAGATACTGCGCGTGACCAAAATATGGATGATACTATTAGTCAATATAATCAAACCAAGAGGTAGAGCAAAACCATAATACAATCCTTGTAGTCCCATCCAACAACTGGAATATAAGGGGAGGTCATTCACATATATTATTATTTCAAGACCTAAGCTGGTGTTAAAACCAAGAATTAGTCGTCCGGATTGGACCAAATAAAACGAGGTCCTATGCACACTGTATGCCCGTCTTCATTATCCCAGTCGAAGCAAAAAAGTACGACGTTAAACTCTATTTTATATATACTGAGCGCCATGGAAAACGCAAATATTTCCCAGATATTTTATTACAAGGTGGTTTTGTATGTATAATATTATGGGATACTATGAACTATTGTTTCACACAATGCTCCCAAACGCAAAAAATATCGGCCCGTGTGCACACAAAAAAATTGCACGAGATGCACATGAAAAACTTAATATTCACGTGCAGCATTTTGTATGAGCCCTTTAAAAGCATGTTTTCAACTTAATGTGCAGTACATGAACTGTGAAACGTCAATCTGTCGTAATTTGTTGTTGGACGTGTGAAGGATTCGAGCTAGAGATGCCGAGACTTACTGAAAATCAACGGAATGAAGCCATGGGAAAGTCCAGGGCTGGCATGTCTACACGTGCTATTGCCAGACACTTCAATTGTCATCAGTCTACTATTGTAAGGTTGGTGGAACGTATTCGAGTTACTGGATCAACACGTGACCGTCAACGTCCTGGTCCACAACGCGTTACAACCCAGGCTCAAGACCGCTACATCCGGGTCACTCATCTGCGTGTCAGATTCCGCCCAGCTACTCGAACAGGTGCAGCAGTCGTCGGAAGACAAGGACCAGTAAGTGCCAACACCGTAAGACGTCGTCTAAGGGCAGTAGGACTCCGTGCACGACGACCTTATGTTGGAGCTATCCTCAGGGATCATCACAGTCAGCGGCGTTTGATATGGGCTCAAAGACACCAGACATGGAGAAGAGTAGACTGGCAAAGTGTGCTCTTTGGTGATGAGAGTCGCTTTCATCTTTATCTGGACATGGCACCGATAGAACATGTCTGGGATGAGATTGGACGCCGCCTGTATCGGAGACCACAGATGCACACCACCAATGGAACAATAATTACATGCGACGTCCGTGGAGGACACACGCGCTACTGACATCTGTGTCGTACTTTTGGTTTTGACCCCTCTGACTTTGTACCGTTGATTACAGATTAAACATCCATAAGTGTAAAAATGTGTTGTTATTGATGTGTTCCCATTTGAATATTGTTCACAATAAGAAGCAAAATAAATAAGATATATTTACAGGATCATTTTGTTCTACGAAAAACTAAGTGATGCGTTTTCCATGGCGCTCAGTATATATACACACACTGTACTTCTTATTTAAAGATGTTTCTATTACGAGTTCTTATTTTGACTTCAAATATACTCTTTAAAAAAAGTAGGGGATATTGAAATACAAATACCTATGCAGGTTGTGATATGATAAATAGTCATGGACAATTGACATGCTTTGAGAGTATGTTCACAGATGAAGAACTTATCGCCCCAACAGAACCACTGAGCTGCATGTGCGACACGCAATAGCGCCATACACGTGGGAGGGGTTCATTGTCAAATTTGACACTTCAAGGAAGGGTTGATGAAAAAGGCCGCTTGCTGAGTTATCCTATCCATGTTTGCTTTCCTATCGGTTCTTGCATAAGATTTACTGTTTAGCGTATCTTTATTTTAGTGTGTTACGTTTACTTTGATCGGGAGACGTGTTCGTCGACGTCAACGTCAACCGACAACACTGCAAGAATTGGCCTTGGCACTGCAAGATGAGTGGGTCAGATTGCTCCAAATCGTGATTGGACGGTTGATTAGGAGCATGCCGCGACGAATTGCTGAATGTCTGAGGATTGGTCGAGCAATTACTCATTATTAAGACAAAAATCAAAAACGTCCAGTGAAATAGGACCGTCAGATAAGCCGCCCATATGAACTGTTTAAGTTCATGTGTAGGCAATTGGCCTGTTATTAACATACACTGGTTACCTCTAATAATAATAGGGGGGGGGGGGTGTTATTCAATAAATATTCTGGAAGCCAAGCGGTACGGTGCTTAAAATATGTGGAGGGGTGATTTCGAACAAAAAAGAAACCACAAACAACATATTTGGCATGTGTTGAAGTATGGATCAATTCAAATATGATTACATAATATCATTATTTTGGCAAAGTTAAGCTATCCCGGACTGAATTCAAATCACCCATCGTTACATCTGTTTTACATCTGAGATTGCTTAGGCAGGCCTTCAAATTGGCCACATAAATAGATGCTGGCAAATTTTTATTGTCCTTTAATAAACGGAAAATTTTACTTTGTTTAGCTACTGATATGGTGTATCTCGAGCATATCTTACTTCGTTCGACAAACAGACGCATTTGCTTGTCCTCCTATGTCTAATCACTTTTCACATTTTTTCCTTTGTGAAAGGACTACCGTTTATTTCAGTTTAATCAAATGATTGTTTCGCCTTTTGTCAAGGAATAAGATTGCTATTTCCTTGAGTTAGACCTTGTTGCTGCAAAAGCTTCTGTTTCTTGTCCTACGTTTTCTTTACTGCAGGAATTTCATACTTAGCGATATTACTATATCCTCGGAAGGTACCATACCAGAACATTGTCATTCGATCAAGTCCTGGGATCTGTCTTGCAATTGCACAGTGGATGCACATTTCAAATTTTTAGCGCCTCATTGCAATATCTGATTACACAGATCTAGCTCAATATAAATACTTACTATGTTACACAGCTCTACATCAATATAAATACTTACTACGATTCCCCACCGTTATACAGCTCTACATCAATGGCTAGCATGATCACAACTGGTAAAACTGGTAAACCTGCCATAAATAAATATATTTATATTATTATAGTTGAATGTGTCGTTAGATTTGTACACAATTTATTTATAATGTTGAACTACTGGAGATATCTTTAGATTGTTTCACAATTTATTGATAATGTTGGACTAATGGAGATATCTTTAGATTGTTTCACAAATTAATGACAATGTTATGGACTACTAAAACTGTGAAGTTTGTCCGCATGTTTGCCAAGTCGTTTTTGTTTGTCTGTAATGCGTCATTCGGTACTTACTATTTCGATCACTACATAATTTATATTAGAGTTTGTTTAAATTCGAGATTCAATTTTTGTCACCAAAGATACATAGTTCATTGATTATGTTTTCTTACCCCAGGCTAGAATTGCCGCCTTAAGCACAAAATTGCTGACATAGGTTCCCAAAACTCTTACAAACATAAAATATAAAAGGATGCCTTCCACTAACATCCACATGAAGGATGCCAAGATGAAATAATGTAGCAAGACAGCTACAACAATACAGCCAACGTGATCACCAGTCTGCTTGGTTCCCGCCAGAAATACGATCCACGAAAACAACATGGCTAGTGCCAAATTAAACATTATGTGCTGTGGTCGACGTTCTCGTAGTTTTCTGGAAGAAATAGAGGGATAACAGACACGATAAAATACTCCCAAACCTCGTACCAATCTCGGTCCAGATAATAACTTCAGGAACAATTAGTCGGCCTTGCAACACAGGGTTTGTTTAATAAAATCTACCCTGATCAAACTGTTTCACCTGAGAATACAAGAATACTGTAGTCTATTGTTTTATATACATCTTGTGACCAATTATTATAGAACATCAATGTTGCTAATTCGTTCAGTGTATGGAAATTAACAAATTAATCAACATAGAATTTGTGTAACGCAAACAATAATTCATACTAAGATCCTTAGAAATGGGGTTTAATGTCCACTCGACACAAACTTATTTCAATAATTCGCTTACGCGTAGGGGTCTTTAGCAGTTGGAGGAACCCTGAGGACCCGGAGAAAACCTACGAGGTTGGACAGGCGACTGAGGAATCGAAACCACGCCACTTGACACAATGACAGACCTTATGATACAGCGCGCACACGCTAACCATTCGGTCCCCCCTCCCTAGGATTCGTATGGGGTAAGCAAATCTTGAATATATTATGGTGTCTGATAATTGAGTGCTTTTAATGTCAATAATAGAAATTTGAATACGTTATGTAACAATGTGACATATTTAACAGTAATTTTATCGAGATTTTCCGGCGTGGTTCCCCCTTGTCAGTGATGCAGGACGGAGGGCCTGACAAGGACAACTGTCTAGTCGTTCGGGTGGGACGAAAAACCGAGGTCAGTGTACATATTGGCGTGTACGTAAAAGATTCCTTGACAGATGGAATTCGATATAAGAGTAGGCCGTAGTGCCGTTGTCTGGGCAAAATTACCCTCATAGCACACTGTATGAAGTTCGGAGCAGAACAGTAGGACGTTAAACCCCATTTTATTTCTTTATGTGTTTCTCAATAGATACAGGGGAGATTAAAATAAACATACTTAAAGATCAGAAACATTAAAACTGTTAATCCTAATCCAATTATAGAAAGGCTTAATCCAATATAGGTAATAATAGATAGAGCTTGCTGATGACTTGGTTCTACCAAATAGTCCTGACCATAAAAATCCTGAAAGAAAGTCAAAATAATATGTAAATTAATATTGGCCTGTAATTGAAAATTTGAAAATACATTTCGAGATTGGGAGATTCTAATTTATAGCCTTCGACTGATCATAAAATAGATTCAAACGGGCTTTACAAATAAGTATTAGTGTACCGAGCATGACGTCATCATAGCAATCTTGGAATTATAACGTCATATGAAAACTCGAACAATTGTCCAAGCAGAACGAATGCCAAGTTACCACGATCACACTTCAATTATCTTAGCATCGCTCTGAATTAGAACAACAAGATGACCAACAAGATATCAGGCGAAGTACAAATGTAACAATACCAATATCGTACAGTAGTATGACAATTTTAAAAATACAGATATCGTACACGACAATAAATGTATGAGCGCTAATATAACGTGATACAACTGCATGCAACCATAATAGCAACGAACGGAATTATTATGTAATTTGCGTTTATAATTCTACGTTTCTATCTTTCTTTTCGAAGCATACCCTGCCTGGGCACTGCTCTGGATATTTAAATTGCGATTTTCAATTAATAAATCCTTTAAAATAACGATAATAAACGATACTATTTAAAACTATCGTACCATAAGAAGAGCAAAGTTTGTTAAATGGTCACAAACACAGACGTCTCGTTCTTCTGTTGTGTTCACATAACGACAACCGTCATTCGACCATCCACCACGCGCATTATTTAAACTAAAATCCCAAAATACACAATGACTGTATTTCTCTCGATATTTATCTTGTAAAACCTCGAATAAAAAACAAAAAACAGCATCGTGTATAGACAACAATATTACAGGTTACAATTCACAGTAGCTTCGGTAAGTATAATAAATCATCGGATGTATACACGTGACACCACTTCACATACCAATAAACTATAACACATAATTATATATAGACAAAATGAAATGAAAAAGTGTTTAACGTCCTACTGATCTGCTCCTATACTGGGCTAATGAAATCGGGCATACGCCATACAGTGTGCTATGAGGGACATTTTGACAGGGCAGTGGCACTATGGACTACTTTTATATCGAATTCCAACAGCCATGGGATCTTTTACGTGCACGACAATGTATACACAGGACCTCGGTTTTTCGTCCCATCCGAACGACTAGACAGCTGTCCTTGTCAGGCCCTTCGTCTTGCACCACTGACAAGGGGAAACTAAGTCGGAAAATCCCGATTAACTTTCTCGAGTTGTATTATCTTAATACGTAAATAATAACTAAGAAAAGTGAGTAGTTGGTATTCACAGAATAGCGGTGTCTTGTTTGACATTTGTTAAAACCGTGTCATGTAGACATAATTCACACACAAGTCAAATCTTATATAATGAACGGACATTTTCATTTACTGCTAATTGGAAACTACTAATTCCCCATTAAACAGAAAATCTGCCTATTGTAGATCTTTCATTAGGCCTGAAATGTTACCTAAATTTTCAATTAGACATTAATTAACTTATCCAGACCATAATCAACTCTCGATGTCATCGCTAGCCTGTGATATTTACTGGATTTGAATCTGATTTGCTGCCAAGCGGTCATTGGTGATTTAATCCCAAAATGAATAATCGAGACTGTTTTTTTTATCATACCGACTTTAGTAATGATGATCTAAGTTTAAACTATTATAGTGAGAACTAACAACTCTTTATCTAATCTCCCATAGTGCCCTTTAAGAAAACACCCCAGCGTTGTAATACAAACGTATAACATAGACGTTAGATATTAGAAGTGTTATATGGTGTTATAGAACAAGTCGTAATAGTAACTATTGGGTATTCCAAAACGAGTATAATAATATATTGGCTTTTGAATGATAGACGTAAAACTACTTATTGCTAACGTGGGTAATAGTTTTATCTTGGAGTTTAGGACGTGTTATTAGTGTTCTAGAACGAGGAAGCTATCCATCAAATTGTAATGATAATCTAACCCTGGGCTTCAGAAGCCGGCAATAACGTCTGAACAATGACCAATATATTATATTTTTTAAAACTTACATTTTGTGGAAAGAAAACTGTGGTAACGAATGAACCATTTAAATTTACAACAGGTTTTCTATCTATAGTTAATGTAGCTGATATAACTTTACTATTAACTGTACCATTATTATCAGTGATAAAAAGATTACTGGAATTTAACACACGCATAGATAATCGTATATCACTTGTATTCTTCTCTGGAATAAATAAAACAAGAATAAAAATGGCAATGTGAATAAAACCAATCAATTAATAATGGCCTCAATAGATAAGAATATTATTATATGATTAAACCTTGACACCCAATCTGATTAAAACACAGATCCAATTTCGTTTCGTTTTTATAGTTCAAAATTTTGATTTTACTTGTCTTTACTACACTTGGATCTGGAAGCGTTGTTATTTAACTCGTGTTCTGCTTGAAATGAGGGGTCAGCCAATCAAAAAAATAGATACAAAAAAATACATGGGGCGGCCGCTAATTGGTTAATCGAATGACTGACGTAATCGGGTCAAATGTCGCTTGCTTAGTACCTGACGTCATAGAACGTGAACTCCCACTATAACTTGTTAGATCTACATGTAGTGTAGGCCATCGAAAGTATAAAAAACGAAACGAAATATAGATCTATATTTTAATTAGATTGCCTTGACACCACGTCTCTACTTTGACCAAAAAAAAAATAGAAATCATACCTGATATTGTTCTTCTAACAAATTGTTTATTTAACAGAATCCCAGCAGTCGTTGTTTTGTAAATAAGTTCAGTGTTTTCGTACAACGACGATAGGGTACTGTTTTCAAGTAACTCTATTGGATCAGAATCCTCACCATTAACCGACAGGCCAATTACAGGGTTTCTCATTAGTTTGGTCAGATTCCAAACTTCTACTACTGTTTTATTGGTTACTAATCTAAAATGACCATCGTCGTCATCTGTGGGAATTCTCAGTTCGAGTTCATCTAAGCTAGCAATCAATCTGAAATACAGAGAAACAGCAGTATTAGTATATTTATAACGCACACTGTTTAAAGGTCTTACTCGATATTACCCACAGTCTCCAACATTATAAACACCTTATAATTGTCCATTCCAACAAAAAAAGTGAGTTTGCTAGATTACCGTGCAAATATGGGCTCCTGGTAACAGTACTTATAGCACAGAGAACAGTTTTAGAACCAGTACACGCCAGCTCAATTTGTACTGTAGTGACTTGATGGACACAGCTCAAAAAATACATATGCAGGTTGTTATATGATAAATAGTCATGGACACTTGACATGCTGTGAGAGTATGTTCACAGATGAAGAAATTATCGCCCCAACAGAACCACTGAGCTGCATGTGCGACACGCAATAGCGCCATACACGTGGGAGGGGTTCGTTGTCAAATTTGACACTTCAAGGAAGGGTTGATGAAAACTGCAACTTGCTGGTTTATCCTATCCATGTTTGCTTTCCTATCGGTTCTTGGTTACGATTAACTGTTTAGCTTATCTTTGCTTTATTGTGTTACGTTTAAATTGATCGGGAGACGTGTTCGTCGACGTCAACGCCAACCGACAACACTGCAAGAATTGGCTGTGGCACTGCAAGAGGAGTGGGTCAGATTACCAAATCATTATTGGACGGTTGATTAGGAGCATGCCACGACGAATTGCTGGATGTCTGAGGATTGGTGGAGCAGTTACTCATTATTAAGACAAAAATCAAAAACGTCCATTTTCACTTTTGACAGTGTATCTCTTTGCGAGTGAAATGGGGCCGTCAGATAAGCCGCCCATATGAACTGTTAATGTTCATGTGTAGGCAATTGGCCTGTTATTAACATACACTGGTTACCTCTAATAAAAACAGCAGTGCATTTCCGCAGTTTTGTATTGTTTCTCAATATCCCCTAAATTTTTTGAAGAGTATATTTCTACGCCGTCATCCGCGAATGAAATGCGAAAGTTATGTTTCGTCTTTCTCTCCGTTTCCCTTCTTCCTCTTTTGTATGGCGATTTTCGTTGACTTGTTGGTGTAGAATCGAAGAAAAGGGTTTGAAAATACATTTTCTGCCAGGTTTTGGTGAATATTCATGATTTTGAGATGGAAGGATACGAGAGTTGGTTAGGTTGAAATGTAGGGCGGAAAATTGCAAGTTTACTGGCCTTTACTTCCAACTGGTCAAGTTTTCCCCATACGTGATTTTGAGCAAGAATTTGCTACATGTTGCTCCATCTGTGGCAGAAAGCCTTCTACCCAATGAAAATTTGAGAAAATGTTAAAGCCGGTCTAAGAGACGAGAATTAACATTAAAGTCAATGGGGAAATCATTAGTGATCTGTGACCTTATGAAATGCCAATCGAACTTCCGATGTAGACTGGGCTAACCATCCATGAACGACTGCTATTCAATTTGGACGACGAACAAGACTGATTAATATGTTTTTACTTATATTTTCCTGTCTCAAAGTCCAGCTTAGGCATGGGCCTGAGGGGCCCAGGCCCAGTCCGCCGCGGTTTATGGGACCCGCGATTCATGACAAAAAGAGAATAAATTCAAATTCCAGATGAAAGTTTCACGGTAATCGATCTAGCGGCGCGAGGGCGGTGACTGTGCTATCCCTCAACCTTCTCTGTGAAGTGCCACTCTTTGATCGGTGTAGGCTTCTAGCGGCGCGATGGGCGAAGACTGGGTGAGTCTGCAATCCCTCAACCTTCTCTGTGATTAGCAGCCATCCCATAGGCCCCCACTGCAGTCACGGTCACGCACACAACAAACAACATTACTCACATAATTAGGACAGTACGTGTGATACCAGGATGCAAGTATGGTGTCACCTAGCGCTATGTGCGTTAGTCCTACTGGCTATTGAAAATGAACATCTCCCAACACTGGACGATGAGATGATAATCGATGAGCTCAACATGTAACAACTCAATCCGGTGATTTCACTTGTTATAACAGTTCCCCGTCATTCTATATATCATTTCCGGGCATTGTAAGCCATTCGGAACTGAACAGATTTCGTATGTGATCAGTAATTATGTAATTATTATTGCATTACAGACCGTTTAATTGTCTGTTACGCATACGTGCCATTCAAAAGGATATGAAATAATATTTTCGTCGCGTTAGGGGCCCCGCGATTCTAGTCAGGTCCAGAGCCCCGCTCCGGTTAAGCTGGGCTTTGTCCTGTCTACAAATACCTGTTATTCTTGGTGTTTAACGTCCGCTTCCACGTTATCATATTTTTATTGTTGTTATCTAAGCGCACGCGGCGGGGGCTTTCCTGTGGGAGAAAACCGGAGTAACCCCACGACGTTGAGAAGGCGCCCCTATCTCCAAGCCACATCCGTTGACACCGGCAATCGAAATCACTACCGCAAGCTAGAGGTGACCGGTACGCTAGAGGTCGAAGCGTGCGACTCTACGCCACTAGTCCATCCCAAGTCCCCTGACCCCTGTCCGTTTGTTTGTTCCTGAGAGTGATATAGCAGGTAAGAGAGACCCCTATCCAGATTAACTCCCAATTTATACGATTTTAATAGAGAATCGACTATTTTGATTAATCGACAAGGAGGAAACCTAGTAGAAGAAAAAAAAAGCAGTCACTCATAATTACTATCTGTTCATTGTATGAGATTATTATGTTGAATCGTATTCATAAAAAACATGATAATAATTTAGCGAGGTTTGGTGCAGTGGAAAGTACCATAATTAACTGGAGTTCTCATAATAAATCTGGTGTTTCGAAAGGCGACACACTAGTATAGATCAAAAACGTAACCTCTAGGTTAGTGTGCCACCCGTCATCTTACCCCCCGAGCCACCGCAGCTCTTAGAAGCATCAGTGTTCATAATATATACTCAATAATTTCATTTACTTGTTTGAAATGTTGACATCCTCATTTGCTTCTGTGACAACTTTTTCTTTACTATTTTGTATGTTGTTGATGGTGTTGATGAAATTAGTGGCGTCCTAGAAGAAAATAGTTCGTATTGACCTAGCAGAACATATACAATTATTTCTCATACCCAGTGACCACAGTACAGATAAAAGTAATAAAGTTTTAATGTCTTATACTGAGAAATGTTTATCAGTCTACACTACTATCAAATTCCAATCTGATTAAAACACATATCCATATTTCGTTTCGTTTTGTTATACTTTCAATGAAGATCTGACAAATCGTGTCAGAGGTCGTACGAGCAGCTTTTGACCCTATGACGTCATACATTGATTAATCACTCAGCGCTGACGTTTCTAGTGGTTTACCCACACTTCCGTGCATGGTACGTTAAGAAGTCGCCGTAACAGACCGTTTCATTGGCTTATCCCCTAACGTCAACCAACATGCCGGTAATATAACAACTCTTCCAGATCCTAGTGTAGTAAAGACAAGTAAATTTTGAACTATAAAAAACGAAACGAAATAGGATCTGTGTTTTAATCAGATTAATCAAATTCCTCATGGTAATTCTGTGTAATCTGCTACGAATATACACGCGGGATCAGGGATTTCATTCCTTGCAAAAAGGAGGCAGCATGTATTCGTTTTAATAGCGTTTGAATAAAATGTAGAATCACCAAAAGGTGGTAATTATAGTCAGTTTTAAAAACAAATAAATTGTTTTGCACAAAATAGCCATATTTTATTTTCATTGCAAGTCATTAATATTATAAGAGAATGATGTGAACTCACCTGTTGTGTAATATTATCTGTTTTAGAAATACCGTCTAATATAATCGTAGTGTAAATCACATCTAGAGGTGTCAATTCATCAGGTACAGACGTCAAAAATTTGACTTTTACAAGATTTTCCTTTACATTATCTGTTAAGTTACTCTGAAATTTGTAAAAAATAAAGTATCATACTATCATTATATCCCACACAAGAGAGAGGTGGCATCGTGTATTCTAAACAGACAAGAAGTGGTATCAGGAGGTCTATGAAGAACAACCATGCGACCATGCATAATACGTGATATCCAATGAAACGTGGTGGCATGTGTTTTGGAACGTACAACCACGTGGTTCAATGTTGTAGCGAGTGTGCTAGAACGTTCAACCATGTGGGTCAGTGTTATAGCAAGTGAGCTAGAACGTACAACCACGTGGGTCAGTGTTGTAGCGAGTGTGCTAGAACGTACAACCATGTATGCCAGGTAAGGAGTGGTATCATGTGATCTACAGAATACCAACTAGAAATAGGGGGTTGAGTGGCCGAATGATTAAGGGGCGCGTTGTATCATAGGGTCTGTCATTGAGTCAAGTGGCGTGGTTTTGATTCCCCGCTTGTACGTGTCAAGGAGTAAGGTCAAGTGTCCAGCCTCGTCGGTTTTCACCTCGCACTGCCAAAGACCCCTAAATAACATTGAACAATATGTTACTCCCGAAATGACCCAGTTTGTGTCAAGTAAACGTTAAACTCCCCCCCCCTCTCTCCCTCTCTACCTCCTCTTTGCCCATCTCTCTTCTCGCTCTCTCTCTCTCTCTCTCTCTCCATCTCTAACTGGAAATGTTTAAGTAATGTAAACTACTCAAATGAAAATGATCTTTATGCGACACATGTTATATTATAATTGATGTATATTTATATCATATGTATTGTTTATGTTTACTGTGTGTAGACTCAACGTTTAAGAAATACTATCTTATTTTGAGCGGACTCAACGTTGATAAACTCCAATTCACATAATAATTAATGAATTTTCGACAACGGCGATTTAGTTTAAAACATGTTCCGTGACTTTAAACTGAAAATGAATAAAAACATCTTTTGGATACTCTCCACAAAGTGATTGCGGGGGGGGGGGGGGGTAATATACGCCAAAACGAATCCCATTTCCTGTATGTGTTCAATTAAATAATAACTCACTTTATTATCGGCGGGTAATATACGCCAAAACGAATCCCATTTCCTGTATGTGTTCAATTAAATAATAACTCACTTTATTATCGGCGGACGACATGTAATGCTATTTTGTCTAAATCTAATTATAGACAAATATGATACTTTACCCGGGCTATTTCTGACAAATTGGTCGTAACCCCTGACATCAATGAATCTTGGACATTACAATTTTCATTAAAGATCATCTTACTCCAAACGGCGTCAAAACATTTTATTACACCTATAGGAGCGCCATCTGAAAACAAAACATATATTGCCTTAAACTCCAAGCTGGTTTCATAAAGATATAACCGATCAGGGGCGTACATATCGATTTTGTGCTGGGAGTGACATGGCATGCTCTCCGTGAGAAATCTTTGAATCGAGAGTCCCTGAAATTTACATGAGTAAAATTGAGTCCTACGCATGAGAATTGGTGTTATTTATTACGAACTTTGCAAGAACATAATCCGTGAAACAATGACAACTTATGAAAGTGATAATATTTACTTCATTTACATGCATATATATTGTGGTGAATATACATACATTAGCAAAAATATGATTATGTCCTCATATTTTCATCAAGCGTCGAATTTGACCACCGATCGGTGAGGTCATGCTCACGCAAGACTCCTGTCAAAAGTTACAACCTAGTAACTCACCTTTTTTTTTTTTTATCAAAACTGAGTTAGGACCAAATTTGTAGTTACTATGGTATGTGCTTCGAGTTGTCGTACTAGATATTCCAATCTTTTGATTTTGTAAGCAGTTACGCCCATGACACAACCTAGCAACTTCCTTCATTTGTCTAGTATGCCACAGAAAAAAAACCTAGTAACTCAGCAGTCAACTCAATGCATAAGCTGGGGTTTAATATTCATTCATTACGTTTTCCTTGTTTTCTCAAAATAAGAAAAAACGTGAGTTACTAGGTGTTGCCTTTTGACGGGAGAAGAGCCAATAGTTCATTGAGGCGTTCCTGTTTCATTACTGAACGCATAACAGTTTTAACTAATTTGAGCTTTGAAAAACCGGCACGTATTGTGATATTCAATCAAAGCAAATACTTATACACATACTTATATTTTTTTATTGACCCGAATAATCACGCTTTCTTTAATCCTCTCCCAAGATTCTATAATACAGATCGAGTCTCAAATTATCTTTTATTACTCACCGACAAAACAAATGTCCTCTGTTTCCCATGTCTGTCCATGAATTGTTTCTGGTATTCTGTATTCCACGTTCACACCAGTATAATTACTGGTTATAATCTCCTCTGGACAATTATCTAACAATAAACAGAGTATACTTATCAACAATAATAATCACCGTTTATTAATTCTGACAACAATGCCGGTTAAAGGCAACTATAGTGTCGTGTCACATAATATGGTTAATCCAAGTTACTAGTCTAGGACAATCGACCATCTGCACCACCAGTCATTGCCCTGACAGGCCCTCCATCCTGCACCACCAGACAGGCCCTCCACCCTGCACTACCAGTCACTGCCCTTGACAGGCCCTCCAACCTGCACCACCAGACACTACCCTTGAAGGGTGCTCCATCCTGCAACGTTCCGGAAGCAAACCCGACACTATATTAAAAGGGGGTACAATAAGTGCAACAACCCTGGCATTATAAGCTGGCATTGGCGCCGCTGAAGCGTTCTTGAAGAAATTCGATGAACATTCTTAGCAAGGACAGATACGATTTCCGTTGCCAAAGGGGGAGAATCTGACCAAGGGAGATAATATTTAGGGCAACGCCACATGAACATGAATTAAAATCCCCAGATGGAATTATTGAGCCAGTTTTAATTTATGCTCTAGTGCGTTTCCGGAGTACGGTATTTTAATTTAACTTCTATCGACCATTGACCATTCGACCCGCGTGAGTGAGCAGACCGAGTCTCCCTGTGTGACAGTATTGGTTCTTTAATCAAGTTCTGGATGACAAGACTAGTTTAGCATCTTATAATACTTTTATTCTTCTTCTAACATATTATGTACAAAACTAATAAGACTCCGTAATTAGCTTGTTTTGAGGGAGCCATGTCCTAGCTTGGCATAAATGTGCCAACTCCAATACGCTCTTCCTCATTCCGTCTCGTCCCGTGCCTAGGCGCACATGGCCTACGCTCTCGTGTCCTGGTCGGACCTGACTGTCGATTCGTTTGTTATCTGGGTTTATAAACCCTTCCAAACAAAAGATCTTATTAGGCATCTGGCTAATGTATCATATCAGGTTTAACATTCAGTACAGTTTGATTATCAGACAAAGAAAGTTTAAATAAAACATGCCAGCAAGTTAAGGTTACATAATCGTTACATAACCACACAGGGATGCTACCAAGAACTCCAGGGATGTCGATAGCGAACAGGTGCCAAGTTGGCAGGAAGTGTCTATAACATCAGATAATCGGTGATTATGTAACACCTGTCAAAGAGAAACGAAGGAATGACAGAAAATAGAGGAGATCTTTTTGTACAAGACATACAGAGATCTCACTTTTTTCTCGCCTGTCCCTTTCTCACCGGACAACAACTCCAAGACCCAATGGATACGGTAGAGCGATGTCGACCGAGGAAACTCGACGCGATTCACAGCTCGTGGCGGTCGTCGGTACAGAGATTTATTTCTCTGCCCGTCTGGCCGACCTGAAACATGAGAACCCAGTTTGGCACGTGTGCTCTCGGTGTTCTCTGGCTCTCCCAGTTTTTCTGCACACCTAGCGAAGAAACTTCCGACCGACCATCACGCTGGCCACGGGGTCTTCCGGGATTATGCAACGTAAGACGCCGGTGGAGTTCATAATTAGGTACCCCGCCCGATTGCAACTCCCACATGCCTAAGTTTTTCCTGCATGTAATGCATTGCTCGCCTTTGTGCTTATTGGTATCAAAGACAACAATTTATTTCCAGAATTACAAGTACTGATATTACGATCATCTAGCACAAGAAATAAAAACAATTCAACGACATTTTTGTAAATGTGTTCCGGAGATCTTCATTCTTTCTAAGATATCTATCAAGAGTTATTTCCCTTTACACCAAATATTCAAATTAATTGGTCTATTTTGCAAAAAACATTATTGAATTGAATTGATTTTGTGTTCCCGGCCTTTTTCAAATATTATCATAAGTTTGCCTGGCTCACAATATATCAAAATAGACATGGGTGAAAATTACCCAAAACAAATTATGTTAAAAATGTCTTGGGTTGAAATTAAAAATGACTTGGGTGATAAACTGTTATCTATAGTGAGTAGGGTAATACTTACAATAAACTGTTTTCTATAGTGAGTAGAATAATACTTACAATAAACTGTTATCTATAGTGAGCAGGGTAATACTTACAATAAACTGTTTTCTGAAGTTTTTTGCAAACAAAATACGTTGCCTCATTAAATAAAGTTATTATTATTATTATTGTTATGGCACCAAGTTTTGTAATATTACAAGACTCGTCGCTATTACCAAACACGTAACAATGTCTTTACCATAATTTTACGACATAGCTTTGATAGTTAGCCAAGAATACAATGTAGAAACAGGGAAAACAAACTGTGTATTGTTTACTGTCTGTTATTTGGAACAGGGAATTGTTGTGCTCCATTTCAATATTTCAATGTTAGTAGACTGGTGTATAATTATTATAAACATCAACTTACAATAAACAGGAAGAGTTACAGTTGGACTGGTGCCAATATTAAAGGTATCTCCACAGGTCCAGTTACCAGTATCAGTTGATGTAACATTAGTTATATTAAGATACAGTTGTTTGTTGTTACCATTGATACAACCACATGTATATCTGGTATCAGATGAAGAGGGCTCTTGACAGGAAATTAATACTACCTCACAGACTGATTCACTGCCCTTGTTAAACCCTATTTCTATAGGTATATTACCAACAGATACCTGACATGTAAATCTATAATCTTCTCCTCTAATACCATATGGTGCTGATCCTGATAAACTGTATTTTTGAGCTAATAAAAATAACAGAAGAATGTTAACTGTTTATGGTATTGAAATTATTGACCTTTGTACATTTGACCTGGAAGGTGCAATTGATGGATCTAAATCAATTGGATGACCAAACTGCACATGTTTTTTTAGTTCATGATTTCCCAGACTATGAATGAATTGATCCACAACATGACCATAACCAAAATCGGCTACCGATTCGTCACGATACCTCCGTCTTATTTCGGTATTCCACCCTATATGATGCTAACTTGTCGCTAGGGCCGAACCTACGGTTTAATAACCGTGTTCATTCTAAATATGACTGTGTTTAGTGTGGTTGTATTTCTCCTAACAATATTCTAGCCACCCCACTGAGACACATTACAAGTTGCTGGGCCTGTTCAAGAACGGACCACTACTTCCAGATGACCAAGTGTTCAAAATGTACGCGATACTCGACCCATTCAGTGCTTTGTCCATCGAATTTATCGGGCTCTTTCTCCTTTCTTAGAATTTGTCTCTGTGTCTAAGGTAAAGAAGTTTGTTGCCCAGTAATGATAGATACGGTGCGCGTAAAGGGCGTAATAACAGGCAGTGTGAAGTTAGCTCGATTTTCGTTTTTCGTTTTTCGTTTTTCGATATTGGTGAATAACGAAAAACAACTAGCTCGTTTTTCGATATTGGCGAATGTCGAAAAACGAGCCACTCGTTTTTGGATATTCAAACTTGAAAATCAAAAAAGCAGATTTGATGGATGTATATCTACAGAATGTCTCCAAAACACATTTGATTAAATAAGTTTTCAAAAAAGAAATAAAGATATCATAAATGAGAATGCCCGAGCAGTGGATTCACATAAAACTGACATTTCTCCTTGTTTTTGATATTGGCGATATTCAAACCTGAATCTCAAAAAAGTAGATTTAATTGATGTACATCGACAGAATGTCTCCAAAACACATTTGATTAAATCAGTTTTGTAAAACGAACTAAATATATCGTAATAGAGGATGCCTGAGCAGTGTATTCACATAAAAACTGCTCTTTCTCCTTGTTTTTTGATATTGGCGAATCTCGAAAAACGAGCTACTCGTTTTTCGATATTCAAACTTGAATCTCAAAAAAGCAGATTTGATGGTTGTATATCTACAAAATTTCTCCAAAACACATTTGATTAAATACGTTTTCTAAAACGAACTAAAAAGATCATAAATGAGGCTGTCTGAGCAGTGGATTCACATAAAACTGATATTTCTCCTTGTTTTTTGATATTGGCGAATCTCGAAAAACGAGCTACTCTTTTTTCAATATTCAAACTTGAATCTCAAAAAAGCAGATTTAATGGATGTACATCGATAGAATGTATCCAAAACACATTTTATTAAATACGTTTTCTAAAACGAACTAAAAATATCATAAATGAGGATGCCTGAGCAGTGGATTCACATAAAACTGATATTTCTCCTTGTTTTTTGATATTGGCGAATCTCGAAAAACGAGCTACTCGTTTTTCGATATTCAAACTTGAATCTCAAAAAAATAAATTTAATGGATGTACATCGACAGAATGTCTCCAAAACACATTTCATTAAATCAGTTTTGTAAAACGAACTAAATATATCGTAATAGAGGATGCCTGGGCAGTGTATTCACATAAAAACTGCTCTTTTTCCTTGTTTTTTTGATATTGGCGATATTCAAACTTGAATCTCAAAAAAGCAGATTTGATGGTTGTATATCTACAGAATTTCTCCAAAACACATTTGATTAAATACATTTTCTAAAACGAACTAAAGATATCATAAATGAGGATGCCTGAACAGTAGATTCACATAAAACTGATATTTCTCCTTGTTTTTTGATATTGGCGAATCTCGAAAAACGAGCTACTTTTTTTAGATTCAAGTTTGAATATCGAAAGCTCGTTTTTCGAGATTCGCCAATATCAAAAACAAGGAGAAATATCAGTTTTATGGGAATCCACTGGTAGCTGTCCAAATGACGATAGTGGGCAAACACTACTTTCTACCCCACCAAGGGCTCCAAGTTCCGGTTGCTGGGCACACCCTGAGAATACTTGGGTTTTGGTGTACCCCCCCCCCCCGATCTAGGGGTGTAAATGGGACCTCATATCCTGACTCAAAATAAGAAGTCTCCGAGACGCGTGTAGAAGGTATGGGCCCACTGTAAATAATAGTTTGCCGGGGTTCATGATATTCTACTCCTGAGGTAAATTTCAAAGCTCAGTTTTAGAGCATTATACAAGCCAGCAGCTAGTGTTTAATTGGTTAAGTTAGCTCTATTAGTGAGCCTTACATAACCAAGGGACTAGAGAGAGAATTTCCTAAAATACCGCGCTTATATACCATCTGCATGCACGTGCAGAATTAACAGCGACACCAAGGAGAAAAATTATACTGATTGGCCCTACAAAAGAAAGTTTGTATAGAATTCCAAATAATTCCGAAGACTATTCCGTCGTTTTCCGTGGTTCGAGGAGTCGAACCGGAAGTGTTATTTGTAAACACGTTAATGCTCATCTACTGGAACAAACCATAACCACAATAACTTAAATTAATAATAAATCACTTAATTCGTACTTAATGAAATGTGACAACATATTACAAATCAACCAAAGTGTATATGCAGGTAACAAACTAGTTAATTAATTAGATATAAGGTAGAACAATGATTATTTCTAAATTAAACAATGAATACTCCAACTTTGACCAAACACAGACTTGCGTACCAGTCTCCCAAAAAAAGACATTTGACTCACCATTCTAATATTATACATTTATATTTAATCTACGGTAGTTACATTATTATCGCGGATTGTTTATTTTTTCTTAATTTCCTATTTTCGAGTCAATTTTGGCTTGTATATCGTGGTGTCGCCTCACAGTTTGTCATAACTTCGACTTTTCGACTTCCGCGATCAGAAGGGAATAATGTTAGTTCTAGGCTTCCATACCAAACACGTAACAGTGTCTTTACGAGAATTGTAATAGCCAATTAGGTAACTGTTACTAAAAGGTTGGGACATAGCTTTACTAGTTATCCAACAATGCGATGTGGAAACAGAGAAAAAACCCTGTTTATTGTTAACTTTCGGTTATTTGAAACCATTTCAAGATTGTCAATGAGAGTAGACTGTTGTATATTATATATATATATATATCATTTTAAACATCAACTTACAATAAATCGGAAGAGTAACAGGCAGACTTGCAACACCATTATACAATTTACCACCACATGTCCAGTTAAGAGCATGATATGATTGAATATCTGTCATATTAAGATAGAGTTTTCTGTTGTTACCATTGATACAACCACATGTATAATGTCTGATATTATGTGATTGTGATTCACATGTAGTTGGGGATACTTTACAGGCTACAGCTGCGCCATCATCCCTGAAAAACCGTACTTCTTCAGGTATATTATAACCAGATACCTGACATGTAAATCTATAATCTTCTCCTATAATACCATATGGTGCTGATCCTGATAAACTGTATTCTGCACCTAATAAAAATAACAGAAGAATCAGGGGCGGATCGAGAGGGTGGGCTGGGATGGGGAGAGGGGTAGTACACTTTTAATGCTCTGTCCTTTATCATCAGATGGTGGGATATGGGGGTGCATTCAAAGCATGCGATAATGGTGTAGGCATATGTGATATCTCAATTAATGTTTTGCGTTACAAAGTGATCATACCTAACCCTTATCCCGCAAAAGATACACTGCCCCATGAACCTCCTGCGAAAATTCATGGATCTGCCCCTGGGAATGTTAACTGTTTATGGTATTGACATTAATGACCTTTGTAAATTTGGAAAGAAGAACGAGGGAGCATGCTTTATTTATTAGTGCCTATCTGTATCAAAAGACAAATTGTCAGGGGCTGAAACATACATCACATCTGTCTTAAGTTTCTTCCGTAGTTTATAAAGATTGTCACAATGTCAATTGTTAAGTGAGAGCTAGAGCTAATGAGACACTACCGGCCTACAAATAACAATCGGAAATCGCTAAAAGGCTCCTTACAGCTAACACAACATAAAATGAACTGAGTTATTGTATTCATATTCTTATTATGATATTGAGGGCGTGATATAAGAGCAGACAGC